CTGTGTTGTCACACAAGAACACAGGTACATGCAACAAAATTGAAAGAACCTCATGTTTTCTGCAACTATGAAGCTTTCCAAAGCTAACCTAATTTTGCAGTTGCTGAATAGAGTAGATCCAGTGCTTTTATCTCTTTCTGTTGATAACATACTTCCTCATACATCAGCATTCTCCATAGGTTGAATAATGACTCTCCAATGACTTCTCCTGGGAAGATTCCTTCTGCACATTGATAAGAAGTGTTTCTCCTGTTTATGCATTTTTTATCTTCCCAAACAATATTTTATAGTGTCAGAGGTGTGACAGTGTTTGCACAGAAGGATGTAAAAACCCCTGAATGAAAACTCTGGGTTACAAAACTTCATTTCTGTTTGCCAGAAGAATTACATTCCTTGCTATGGGGCTATTTTTTTTTCCAGAACTAAAAAATTTTATTTCATGACAACACTGTAAAGAAACCAGGGGTGTTTCCTACAGAGAGATATCATTCTCTACCAGGAGATATATTTGAACTTGATACTTTTAGGTCTGTTTTGATTTTGCAAGGCATTCTCCTAAGCAGGTTGGTTAATTTTTCCTACAGAACTTCTATGTGTTGCCAAGTTTCTGTTTAAACAGAATATGAGTTTACTTTCTGAAAAGTAAATGTGAGGAACAGCCTTTCGTAAGAAGAATGACAAAGTAAACTGTTGGTGCTTAAATTCTATCCAGTAAATGAAAATTATAAATTATCCTAAAGAAAATAAATAATTTTTAAAAAGAAGAGTAACATATTAATAACCTATTTCTATTTTCTACTCAACATGTATCTGCCTGTTATGATGGTCTCTTTACTGCTCAGTTATTGAACTTCACCTGGCAGATAGACAAAAAATGTATCACTCAGTAAACCAGTTCTGGGGTGGTAAACTTGTATAATAATGAGAAGACTAGATGCCTGGGTAAATTTTTTATATAGGGTATTAGTAGAATAATTGTAATAATAGCATTTGAAGAGATTTAAAGATTTCGTTATCTCTTTGAAGAGTCATCCCACCTTTCAATTATTCTTCAGTGGGAAGAATTGCAGTCTTTTAAATATATCAAAGATATGGATCTTGCATTATTTCTATAACATAAGCTCTAGATAATAATGAAAACTAGATATTGTATATAACAGATCAGTTTCCTTTCAAGATGATGGAGGATTTGGTCTTGCTCTGTGTTGTCAATGAACAATTGCTCATTGAGTTCTAAGAACATAAAATCAAGACTTCAATAAATAAAAACCTGTACTAAATAACCCCATTGGTATATTCAACTTATTTATTAACCAACATAGGAAAGGGTTTCTATAGGGTAGGGTACAGCAGAGAAGTAAGTGAAAGGCTGAGTGAAATACTGAGTGAAAGGCTCACCTTCTCTGTGACACAGGTGTTTCAGATGTGAAGGGCAATGTAGTGCTCAGCCCTACTTGTTATCTGACTTTTCTTTCCCACAGACCCCTTGGTGGTGGGCAGAAAAAGAACAGTTCCTCACATCTCTGTATTCACCCTTCTGAAAGATAAAGCATCTTTTAATTTTTACCCATCTTTCTTTCCTTTTTTCTGTTTCTTTCTTTCCTTCTTTCTCTTTCTTTTTCTCTTTCTCTCTTTTTTTCTTTTTTTGATAATTTCCCTTTCTAATCCAGAGCAGTCTCTTTTGTTCAACATTGATAGTACAGGCTTCACTTCTGTTTTATTACAAGTAAAACCCATGAGGTGCCTCAATTAGGAATACAGTTGTGCCAGATAACCTCCATAATCAACAGCAAGAGCAAGACGGTAATCTCAATATAGAGACCTCAATTACCCTCTGGAGATCACAGTCTGTCTCCAGCCATGACAAAGGGAGCCACAGATGACCCCACACCATCAAGAGCTGAAAGCTGGGCTGAGGAGAATGAGCTCTGGTGCCACAGTGTTCCCTGAAATTAAGGGGAATCAAAGTTAGGTCCTCTTTCCTTGGTGTGACCGGGTTTGTTTATGAGCATCCTCACATGAGGATTGGCAACAGTCTTCCCACTTTAGTAAGGTCTCAAGAGCAGCTGAATTGCACATTAGTTATCAGCTGCTAGACCAGATTTTCTTCAAGTGTTTAGAAAAAAATAAAATTGTTGAAAGTAAATAACATAGCTTCCATTTTTGTTGGTATCTCATTCTTCTCTTTTCCTTTTTGGTATCTCATTTGGTATCTCATTCTCTTTCCCTTTGTTGGTATCTCATTCTTCTCTTTCCCATTTTCATTTCCCACTCCTCTTTTTTGAGACTTTTTTTCTCCACAGTCTGTTTTAGAGCAATTTCAGCAAATACAGGTCTTTATCTTTTGAATGCTGTGGGGGAAAATAAACTAGCCACAGTGGCATAAACAACTTTTTCCAATTTCAGCCAAAATAAACTTTCACTCTTACTATGTTTTAGCAGAATTACAGTGACAGACATTAGAGAGAGAAAAATAAATCCTCCTCCTTAGGCTGACATCTATTATGCCCCTGGCCTTTTAAAATCATTGCATACTAAAAAGTACAAGATCATTATTATTATGTCACTGAATATATATCACACTTCCATGCAAACCAAAATTATTGTAAACACTGGTTCAGAGCCTCTAGGAAAAGAAAGCAAAAACATCCTCATCATGAACTGAGAAAAGGACAAGGAGAGATTAAGAAATAGATTGAAAGAACCATTTGATTCTTAAGGCTGAAATAACCCAGCCAGATGTAAATCCAATCCTTCCTCCACTCTTCAACAAAAGTTTTCAGATACCGTGAAAGACATCTTCATATTTTGGAAGTCTTTTTGTTAGTTTAACGCTGGGTGTTTATTTCTTTTTGCAAGACACACTTAATAACAGTCCAAACTGTCTTAATCAAAAGGAAAGAGTCTGTGAATCTAAGAAATGCCATAAGAAAGACCAAAAGACTGACAAACACCCTTTTGCATTAAAAAAAAATGTTAAAGTTTAAAAAAATACTAGGAGATGACATTTTATCTGACTGTTCATTTCAGAGGAACTGTTTTTTCATCTGATATTTATGCTGGCTTTTTGAAGTAATCCCATCATCACCACTGCAGAGTGAGTTCATGCAGCACTTTCAACATTGTCAAATATTCTATTTGTAAAACAAAATAGTCAGCAGCTTAAGCATAATACACTTCTTTTACAAATATTTATAGATTTATTTTAATTAGTAAAGTATTTTTTAATATATCCACTATGAAAATGTTTTTCAAAACTGTTTTTTCATTAACAAAAACTCATTCTGTAAACTACTTAAGTGGCCAAAACCAACACAGCTTCCTAAAAGTGTTTCTCAGTATATGGCTGCCTGGATACTATAAAAGAGGTAAGAAATTTAAATTAAAGATAAGAAACCTTAATTTTTTTCTAAATCTGTAATTTATTTTGTTGAGTTAAATATTTCTATTTTGTCACTACGCCAAAAAGACATGCTTCTTCACTGTTGGTGTGAGTGCCTTCTTGCCATTCCAATCAGGTTAATGGAGTTTAATGGAAAAAATAGGGGTTTTGTAACATAAGACATTTACCAGCCTTGTGTAAATGTTCTGGATCCTTCAGTTTATGAAATGGTGACACATATTTGAATTTCAGCGCTGAAGCCGTTTAAACAACTTTCATGGACAACAGAAGCCAGCAGATTCTGAAGGCCAGTTTTCTCTTTCGCTTTGGTTTTGATTGTTTTTTTTGGTCTTTTTGGATCCGTATCAATTTAAGGCAATATAACAACTCTCTTTGCTTAAAAAGTCATCTTGATTCTTCCAGGCAAAGAGAGTATAACAGGCAATCTAGGCATTGGTTATCTTCTAGCACTAATCTGTTGTTCTCACAGCAAATCAAGCATCATCTTAATTGATTTATTTACAGGACTGCATACAAATGAATCAAATGAAGTCAAACAAAATAGACTTTTTTCACTTAGGCAAAAAAAAAAAAAGAAAGCTGAATTTTTTTTCACTTAGGAAATTCTGTTCTAGGAAGAAAAACTGTTCTAAGAAATGCATTCTTCCCATCTTTTCAACATCCTACTACATTCTTTTTTTTTTTTTTGTCTTACGGAAATCAGTAAGAAAGAACAATTTTTCTCTATATAGAGGTCACTATGGACTTAAACCAGAGAATTTTGAGAAAAATTACAAACAAATGGGAAAACTGTGGCTTTTCCCATTTTTGCAAGAATTGTTGCAAGTTTATTTTTCTACAATTAAGTTTTTCTGCAGCATTTATTCTTCTTACAATCATTAGCAAAATAGAAGTATTTTGCTGCAAAATTGATTGAACTTGGCTGAAAAACCAAATCTTGTAGGTTTAAATGTAACAGAACTTTCAGGAATCAGTGTGAATGTTAGTAAAAAATTGTGGTAGTTACTTTGGTATAAAACATTTCTATTACATGCCAGAATAATTTATTTTCCTTGGGCAAAGGGCTGGAGCATGTATCCTGCAAGAACTTGCTGGTGATGCTTTACACAGTTTGATGCTGACAATTTTAGCCATTTTTATACTTGTGCTGGAAGGATTCAGCTACCGGAATGCCGGATCAAGTTTCTCAGCTCAACAGTGCAATTCTGTAAAATCATTTATAACACAGACCATCTCTGTATATGCTGGCCAGAGATACATCCTGCTAGCAAGAACACTGTTTAAAAGACTTCCTTTTAAAATGTTTCCAGGACAAGAATAGACCACTATTTTTTTCCCCATTCAGATTAGAACAATTTTTTTTAAGGAAGTAACCTGGTTTTCAGAACCACCCAGGTGAGAATATATCAGAACAGGGCAATATTCTTCAGCACTGGATCATTATGCTCTGAGATGAGAGGTTAATGGGTTGTACTCTACCTGAAGGCCAATTACAAGAGTTTTGAGACCTGTCCTTTTTAATGTCAGAGGCATGGAGGAAGTGAAAGACTACACCTTAATCCATCTTGCAGATGGCAGCAAATTGGGGGTATCAGTCAGTATGCTGAAGGGCAGGAGCATCTTTTAGAGGGACTTAGCCATGCTGAAATATTGTGCTAACAGGAACCAGGCTCTTCACAGTGGTGTGTGGTGGGAGAATGTGGGCAACAGGCACACACTGAAACAAAAGGATACAACAAACTGGATATAAGCACAACAGCTGGAGAGCTGAACAGGTGGAACAGGTTGCCAGGAGAATCTGTGCTCTCTCCTGGAGATTTTCAAAAGCCAACTGGAAAAAATACAACACTTCTTGATCTGACCTCTGAGTTTCTCCTGTTTTGGGTAAGAAGCTGGACTGGGGACATTCTCACCTGACAGATACCCTGTGATTATGTGATTGCAGCTCTTGTCATTGCCATCTGTTAGTTCATACCCTGTATTTCAATATGAACAGCATTAGTGGTAAAAACTTCTCCCAAAGACGTTTCATAGTATTGTTCTTCTGCCTCAATAAGGAAGAGGCCTGAAGAAAAAAGCAAAACAAAAATACGGTCATGTACAAAGAATTTGGTTCTAATAAAACTACTACAGACTGAAACAACTGCTTTAATTATTAAAGTGGAAATTTAAGCCAAATATTACCTGTCACTGAATGTTCTTGTGTTACTTTTTTAGGGCCTTTCACATTAGTTGAATGTCAATATGTAGTAGCAGTTTTAGACACTTGAGTTTCCATTTTGGCAAACTTTATCTTTCAACTTTTGAAGAAAATATCATATTTATCTGATCAGCTGTTTCTCAGTATATCCAAGCCATTTCATATCCTGACAGCATATAAAATTATTTTTCATTTGGACTGGTACACTTATCTTTGCTCTTTCAATACATTACTCTGTTCAAATTCCTCTGCTAATTTTCATGTTTTACCAAACTGATTGGACTAATTTACTGCACCTTTTCTTTTTTAGCTAAAACAGAAATGGAGGATAAAAAAACCCCAAAACAAACCCACACAGAGACAAAAAATTGCATCTAATGTTTTCATTGCATAGAGTGTATTAACCTACATTTTTCCAAGTTAGATTTTATTTTACCACTACTATGTCAATTACCTTAGTTACTATCTTAAAAAAAACCTCACTAGTATTTTGGCACCTACTAACAGCAGTTGTCACCATCTGCTTTCCTTCGGTGGTAAAAGTGTTTAATTTATATGTATCATATCCTTTTGTCCAAAACCTTTGGCCTTGAAGATGCACTCTAAGATGTATTGCAGAAGTGCTGAATTTCATCTGGAAAAGTGGCTCCAGGAAGGAAAAAGCAAAGTAGGAAAACAGGGACAGACTCTATAGCTAGTCAGTAAGGGTATTAACCTGAGAAATAAAACAGTACTATTACAGTTCTCATTTTTCTGGATTTGAGTGAATGAATTTTCCACCCCACTGACAATTTGTTATCAAATTCTTACCTGAGGTTGGAAAAAGTGACCCCATAACAGTAAAACAATGCAGTGTCACATCAATATGATGCTAACACTGAAATATCTTTTAAAAAAATAAGGAAGAAACATTTTTGATTGACAAACTACTCAAGTTGCCACTACTAGAGAAAGAACAAGTAGAAAAACACCAGCATTTGCATCCATCAGCTACTAATGTGAGGTCTTGAGGAATGTTAAAGAATGGAAAGCAAATCAAAATAGGTTAAGGCAGCCAAATATCCTACTTTCGAATAAAGGTAGGCTCGTGATAGTACAATTACTGTCAGACTGGCTGCCATGAAGAATTCCATATGAATCCCAGAAAATAGCATTTGTACTGCCTGAAATATCAATGTGAAGATATAGCTACTCATTTCAAAACTAGACTTTGCTACACTTGAAAATGGGCTACATTTCTCTACACTCTCTCTCGATAGGTATAAGACAGACTTATTCCACTACCCAATCAGACATTAAAGTGGCCACTTCTGTACCATTGCTTAAGGTTATTTGTGCAAATTGACTGAGCTATGGAGATGCAAACTACTTAATGATGGGTATAACTGAGCTATGTTCACTGGTATGTGCTATGTTTGTTGTATTTCCACTGCTTAGAGAATTTGAGACCTCAGCTCAGTCTTCTGTCCACAATTATTACTTCTGGATGTCCTTCATGTAGATTTGCAATGTTTACCTGTCACAGAAACATTCTGCTATAAAACCTGTGTAAATACCTTCATTTTTTTATGCATTTGCTATGTCCATCAATACAAATTTAGCTATTAAAATTTCCTGTCAAATACGAGTGAATAGTTCTACTAGGAAATTCCGTTTCATGGTTGGTTCTGGCATTCTTGCTAGCTTTGTAAACTAGATTTAGTCCTAGTTTCTCTAACATCTGAAGAAATGCCTCTACTGCAGGTAATACTCTACAGCAAACTAAAGTTCACAGCAGGTGGAATAAATAGATACACATCTCAAAACCTCTGAAGTGAGTGATACTGATCTCTCCCTTAGTGTACCAGTATTTTCCAGTTGCCCTAGCTTACAGGAAAGAGGAAACAATGAGTGTTTTGCAAGTAGAGGAAGACGCAATGTTGCCTCATCCCATCTGAGCCCATTTTGCAGGTTTATCTAAGCTGGAAGGTCTCCCAATTGGGCTATTCTCTCCTGGTTGGTTGCTTCGAGGTTTTTTTTTTTTTGTTTGTTTGTTTGTTTGTTTGTTTGTTTTTATTTCAAACAAATGGACAACACCAAGAGGAAAGACATTCCAGTCATCTGAAACAAGATAAGATTTTTTCTGCATCTTGTTTTCTTTGGCAGACTCTCTTTTAATTATTTAAGCAACTTTACACGACCATAAACCACGACAATCTCATGTCTAGAGTATACATTTAGAGCTGCAGTTTTCTGGAGTCAGCTGGAGAATAAAGGTTTACCTTTCTTCTATCTCTATCATCTGACAGCATCAGTCCTCCTTTACAAGTGCAAATCTCCACCTTTGTTGAAATTGACGGCTCTGCCCAGCACATTGTTAACCTGCAAAAGAGAATCAGATTCTGGATATCTGCAGTAGTAAAACTTGCAGGGCAATGGAGAGCCTAATTACCACTTCAGACTCCTTCTGCCTTCTAGAATGCAAATTGAGTGAATCACTGCTGACACTTGGCATGCCAGATAAGGCCGGAGTAAACGAGCAGACAAGAGCAGCAATCCCTGGTCAGCCTGGTAACCAGCAGCTTGGCCACATGCTAGCTCATACTATTTAAGGGGATTCAGATGTTACAGATCTGGCTTTTATTAGCAATATGGAGATAAATGCTGGGCAGTAATAAGTGTATGTTTTCTTAATTTCTAATGGTATCCTGCCAGTAAATGCCATACAAAGATGATGATGACATCCGATCCAAGATAAGGCACAGATGCACTTTTATAGAACAGTGGTACATGTGTAGCACTACAGATATAGAACACATGCATTTGATTTCGTAAATGCTGTACTGCCAGAGGCAATCACTATTTATTTTAACCTTAGAGAGTCAGAGAAGTTCTGTCTATGCTGCAGGATTCTGGCAAAACTGTAATTAATGTACTAGATGCTACATGCAAGTATGCAACCACTGCTGTGTGGGCATCCATACTACCACTGTGACTCCTTCTGCACTCAGAAAATCTAACCACTACATTCTCCACCATCCATAAATCTGCCTCTCTTCAGTGCAAGTCTAGACAGCAAAACTGGGTGTAAAACTGGGCTCATTCAGCAGATTGTCCTCTTGCTCTCCCAGGTGATACTCTGCTTTAAGGTAATGAGTTAATCTACTTGAAATTGTTCAAATGCCATCGCAGAAGAAAACAAGAATATAAACCAAAGTGTATTGAGCGATTCTGCTTCCTTCCATTCTGCTGCTTCTCAACAATAAACAAGAGGCATCAAAGGACTCGTTCTGATCAACATCAAAAGCCCAAGATTTTACCTTGAGAACTCAAAAGAGTTTCCATTTGTGGTCAGTGGGAAAAACTTTTGAAAAGCATTTAGTAAGTTTTTTCTACTTTTAAAAACCCAAATATTTGACACTATAGCAAATGTTTTAATTCAGTGCTTCAGTAATCTTTATTCATCTTAAAAAATGGAAATATAATAACCACAGCAAAGAAAAAGCAAGAGAAAACCCTTCACAGTCCTGAAACTGTGGCCTGTGCTGTTTTTTTCTGGTTTCAGTTGAAGATAAAGTAGAGAATTATTTCTTGGCTAACAGTAATCGAGAAGAAAACATAAATAAGTATCAGATATAGAGCAAGTTAAGAATTTTTTCTGTGGTCACTTGCCTGCCAGGAAGGAGCAAGTCAGTGAAAAAGAAAAAGGGAGTGGGGGAGGGGAACGGTCTTTAAAAACAAAGCACCAAAGGACTCTCTGAAGTAGATCCCAACTCTGCAAGTTTCAGTAAGTGCACTCCATGCCTCGGAGAGTAACCACCTGATAACTGGTGCTCACAGGGCTATTTTAGCATTTAAAAAGTACTGTGTTAGGAACCAAGCATGAGCCTTGAAAGATTCATTGCTCATTCTAATAGAGATATATTGGGTATTACAATGGAGTCAAAAGAGAAGGAAAAGTACGTGGAGAGGGTTTGAGGAGGTTTCTGCTATATCCAGGCAGCTGTTAGTGGGAAAATGTCTTACTCATGGCCGTCCTGTCCAGGTGCTTTGAGTCCCTAAGAACCCCAAACTCACCAGCCCACCACTGATCACTGCACAGTGGTAGAGTCTGCAGGGCACCAGAGCCACAAGAGAGGCGGGTGCAAGCAGGGACACAAATCCTGCTGCAAGGGGCTTCTGGAGATACCACCTCAGCTCTCACCCTGGCCTTTAAGTCTGTCTTTCCACCCTAAAGGGTTAATAAGCAGATAGCCTGCTGTCTGTACATCTGTACTGTACATCACTAAAATCCTTTTGCACCAGGTGGGAAGAATGGATAGGGCCAGGAATGGGTACCACAGCAGGGATCCTGTGATGAGCTCCTGGGAGGGGATGGAGGGGGGTGGGGGAAGGTGGCTGGAGCCCACACCTCCACCCTTCCCCAGGGACAGTGCAGTGCAAAAGGCCTTTCTCTAATAAACAGGCTTAGAGGCCCCTGGCAACACTCCCTAGTGTAAACCATTGGGTCTGGTAGGCAGAGAAATAGGATTACAGGCAAAATAAACAAAGGGAAGTTATAGCTATATAACAGAAACAATAAGAGACTGAAATTATTGATTCTGAAGATGGAAGGGGGGAAAACAGGAGGCTTGGTCAGGCTGCCAGGAAATCCAGCGTGCATGGAGGATCAGAAGTCTCCTGTACCCAAATAAGCAATGGGTACAGCCCCAAAACTGCCTGCAAGGTGTCTGGAAGGTCTCATCCCAGCCAGTAAGCTTACTGATAACATAGGGCAAGCTAGCATGGAGGAAAGCAATGGGGGGAAAACAAACCCACCTCTTTCTTTTGTAGGGTCTCACTGTGGCCACGTCCGGCAGCAGTTCATCATGAATAGTGCCTTCTAGAAAGAAATGGAATTTCCCAGGGTTTCCCAGCTACATTTCTAAGGAGCATGCTGTGAGTTTTTGAGGCAGCTTATCTGGAATTAGAAATGACTGTGCCTTCCTGACTTCATCAGATTTCTGGATGTGAAAGTGAACCCATGGGGTTCTGCCTCTGGAATCCTTGTGCAGGTGGCAGCAGTAAGATGAGGTTGTTGCCTGCTCTCACAGTCAGAGCCACGGCTGTTAGCTGAACCAGAAGTTGTTCTCCACTGGTGAGCTTTGAACTCTGCAAATACTTCACAGCAAACAGTGTTTCCTTTCAGACCCACAAATATTTCCAGAAAAGGCGCCTGATTTGGGGGGGAGAGGGTAGCAGCCAGTTTCTCTGTAGCATGAACTTTGAAGAAACTATATTAATAAAGTATTGCAGCTACTGTGCCAAGCTGTTCTTAAATACTGTAATGCTGCACTTGACAACAAGGTAGCCTGTACCTATGCAGTCCTGTGTATTTGTTTGTCTGTTCACCTAGTTGTGCAGATAAAGTCAGAGGTGCTCTTGTTTGCTAGCACCTCTCTGCTACTGCAGCCTGAGGTCTTGAGCAACAATTGCTGCGTTAAAACCATCCTGTGATGCTAAAATCCCAGTTTTTCAACATAAAACATTTTAAGGGTTTTCTTTAAGTGATGGTTGCATGAAGGGATAAAACAGAAGGTAGGTAAACTGAGTTATAAAAGTGCAAACACACAATCCAATGCCATGCATGGTCACAAGGCTAGAAATAGAATAAATACTTCTGAAGTGCTGGCTAGAGAGGCAATCTCCTTTGCAAGCAGGTACCTCATGGATACCCTCCAGCTACTGCTTGGTTTTAACTTCTCCTTCAGATAGGTCATGAGAAGGAGTGACTTGGTGGGTTGTGCCAAGAGCTGAAATGGGAGACTGGTGCAAATGGCAGATAGCCAGCAGTGAGGAGACATCTGGCATAAGACAAGGTGCTAAGGTGTGTTGTACATAGTTATGAAACTATTCTACCTTTGTTTTCTGTGTAATGTTATATTTTTAAGAACCATGCCTGCCTGAGGAGACAGTAGTTGTTTTGTTCTTTGAATTGCTGTAGCCTCGGGGTGTCAGTCATTTAAGCACAGAGGGTTGAATTCCATGTTAAATTATGGTTCGTGGGTCACAGTATAAATACACAAATTGCATACTTTCCAGCACAACAGTATCCCAGTGATGTCAGTGGAAGTTCACAGAGAGATCGGCATCACTCAGCTGAACAATTTACTCCCTTTTAAGATCCCAATTCTCAAGCTCCATATTGCCCTCATTCCACCAGCTCTTCATTTCAGTTCTTTGAGACATGCATTTATGCCTCTTCCCTGCTGCTTGTTGAAAGCAACCAGCAGTGATGCAGAAATGTGTTTGAGATATTCGGCAGCCTGGGAGCACTTGAGGATGCTGGTGATCATGGGTAGGTACATATGTATGTGTCAGCTAGTGCAGTCACACTTGGGAGCTTTTCTTTGTAACCAACAAGTCCAGAAAAAGGAAGCAGGATTTTATATCCAGTGTCCCTGGATATAACTTACAGGCTGTGTTTTCATCTGCTTAGTGCAGACTGAACAGAAACGAACCCACAGCTCTGTGTAACTGGATGTTTTTTCTCTGCTAACATGAGATCTATTTGAACCATAGACACATATGGAAATAAAATACTACCATGGAACTTTCCCGTGCCTCTCCCACGTGGACCCTCAGGTGTCTGATAGTGTGAGGGACCATACTCAGCCTTTATCTCTCTGTTTGCATATTTCTATAAAATTGTAACATAATTTTTTTTTGTTTGAAGTCATTCAATACATGTAATGCAATAAAGTTGGTTTGTTTGGAAAGGATGTAAAAATGTGAGCAGGAAGGAAGGAAACAAAAAGAAGGACATAAAACTCTGTGACATGACTAGTTACTGTTCGTGCTTCTCTTAAGATGTTCTAAATGCTGACATTAAGGTTGGGCTGCTCCTGCCCAGCACAGAGCATGAATTGTCTTGCACATAAAAGAATGGCTGACTTTCGACATGGGGATGTGTGTTTGCATAAATCTCTGTATATTCACATTCTTAAATCTCAGTTTCAGCCCTCTTGTCTTGCTTATCCCATCCCCTCCTCCCATTCCTTATTGTGGGATGCGGATGTTGCGAGAAGATGGCGAGATTGGAACATTGATTTTCTCTTCTCCCTCACAAACGGACAGGAGATTGCTTTTAAAGGTATTAAATGGACACAGGTGGGACTGTAAACTTAAGTGCCTCCACATGGAACATCTGCTGCATGTTCACCAGTTCCTGTTATCTTTATAGCAGAACTTGATCTTTTAACCCCTTCACAACTGCCTCCCTCAGTACTTGTGCAAAGATGTGCAATGGCTTTTCTTTGATGTATGGAGCAGTCACAATGGATCTCTGTGATGTGACTGGCGTATGGTGCACTGCTTTGAGCTTCAGTGTGCCTAGCAATTTGCA